CGCGCGCAGGTCTCCTCGCGGCCCCGTGCGCCCCGAGCCGCCAGCGCCAGCCGGCTGTTGTCCTTCCCGCGCGCAGCGGGCCGGAGCTGGACCTCTGTCCCTCCCGTGTGTCGCCAGCGCCCGGCTCAGGTCTGGCCCTTGGAAGGCGCCCTGGAAACACCTGTGGCGCTAGAGCTTCGTGGGCGGGCGACGCGGAAGGGACGGCGCGCTTTAGGCCACCCTCGCTGCCTGCCTCCCAGCCCGTGCCAGGCGCTGGGGGAACAATGACGAATGCGGAGCCCGCCGGCTCGCAGCGCAGCTCTGCCGGCCGAGCCCAGCGCCGGCGCTCCCCAGTCCGGGGTGGGTTCCCTCTCCGAAACCCAGGAGATCGCGGTGTGGGGGAGCAGGTGCCGCGTTCGGAAACCACAAAATGCTCCCGAAGCACCGGGGCCCAGCCGGATGACGCTAAAAGCTGAGGAGGACGCCCACCGCCCCCCATGGGAGCCATTACCTGTCTGTGGGTCCTTACTCGAGGATCAAGCTCAGTGGCCGAAGTCACCAGCGCCTCCACCTCCTGAGCAGGCTGGCCTCTAGTTCATGACCCGGCACTTCGCTGCCAAGTGGCGACATAGTTCAGGCTCTCTAAACGAATATGGAGTTTTTGTAAACCGGGCGTTTTAAGTATAACAAGGGACATCTGAAAGCGGAGTTCTTAACTTGGACCTCCTGGATATCCCTGGGTAATCCTGGCTGGCAGTCTATGAAGCTTCTGCAATCGTCTGCTGAGTTTTATGTGTCTGTGCAATTTTCTAGGGAGAAAGTCCACGGTTTTCATGAGATTCCCAAAGGAGTCTGTGATCCCAGAAAGGTTAAATATTTTAAAGACTATCCTAAAGGGAAAGGTCGATGGTTACCACAAATAATGGAAAATACAAGTGGAAATGTTGGCTTTGGGCCTCCCACCCAGACCCTTTCATCTCTAGACCTCTGTGCAGGCTCCCCTCTACTCATCCTAACGAGTCTTACGCTCCCTTTGCCCACTGTTCTTTCCTGATCTTTGCTTGTGACAAGACTGCCTGTGCAGGGACCAGCCTCCTACACAAAGTGATAGCCTGAGCCCAGCATGCTGGAATGTCCTAGAAACAGGTGGTGCAGGCACTCCCCAAACAGAACTCCTTGGCATCTTTGCTGGTGACTGAGACCCTTTCCTGGGGCACTTGCCCCTGAATGGTGGTCTTACCTGCAGATTTTTGTGAGCTCGGGAGCGCAGAGACCTGCCTATCTTGGTATATCATGTAAATACAAAGATGGTCTCAGTTTGAGTCAAGGAAAAGTGGTTGTCTCTGAGAACTGGGCAGCTGGGGGATGGAGTTGGGGTGCCTGCTCTTCACTTACACCCTTTGAACCTTTGGAATGTTTTAAGTGTGTGTGTTTCACCTATTCAAAAAGTAATAATAATTGTTTCAGTTCATCCCAAGGAAGCTTATTGGAAATTCAGTTTTCCATCTGCATCTTCCTAGGATTCTGAGTCAGTAGGTCTGGGGTGGAATCCAGGAGCATGCATTTTAATGCGCTCCCCCAGAAACCCTCCCCAGGGTTTCTGATGTGGGTGGATCATTGACCACACTTTGATGGACAATGATGTGAAGGGAAAATCTTGGGCTTTGGCGTCAGATCCACTATGGAAATCCCAGCCCAGCCACTCCCTAGCTATGGGACCTTCAGCCACCTCACTGAGCTTCCTCTTGCTCATCTGTAAAATGAGGATAATAATCCCTACCTCACCAGTTGAGAGTAATAAAATCATGTATGTAAAGCACATTTGGCATAGTAGATGCTCCCGTACCTATTCCCTAGTTATATAACTAGAGGGGTGCTCTGTGAAATGTTCGTGAAATGAATTAAACAGAGGCCAGAGCAGAAAGAGATGAGACCAAGATTAATAGGCTTGGAAAACAGCCACAACAATGGGAAAAGCTCAGTGCTGGCTAGGTATGTGCCAGATGTGTTTGCAACCCAAGGAAGGAAGCCAACTATTAAAAGTTTAATGATATGTTTTGACTGCTGCAATAAATGGATAATAGGATCTAAGTCAGCTGCCAGAGTGAGTGAAGAAGGTATCACAGAAAGGGCAAGGTTTGCACTGAGTCAGAGGGGCAGGGAGTGGAGCGGCATTCAAGGCAAAGGAATCAGCATGCACAAAGCCCCAAATCAGGAGAGAACACCTTGTCTGAGAAGTAACAAAGAGCTCAACATATTTGAAAGAGCAGGGCAGGAGATGAAACAGGGAGGTAGGTGGACACCACACAATCAGGAATACCCTATATCCTACAGAAAGTGAGCCTCTTGGGCACTGGGATCTCCTGGGAGATTTTTTAAATTTAAAATGCCAGATTCCACCTGCTGGAGAAATGGATGTCTCCAAGTCTGGAGCAAAAAATATGCAAGATGAGCCTGCCTGAGACATTATGTCACCTCCAGAAAGTAAAGAGGCCATTAAGGACTTAGAAGCCAACTTCAAAGGGGCTTTCACAGGCCAAGGACGGGACAGCTTGAACATCCACAAGAATAATGATTACAATGGGTCAAAACATCAAATATATGAAGATCTATAAGTTTGATCCACAAATTCCTAAAGTTGCATAAATCAAAACAAAACAAAACAAAACTTCATTGGTTGCCTTTGATGACCAGGACCAATTCATTATTCTGAAAACTGATATTAAGTCTGTATCCTTCCTTTCTTATACAAATTCTATCTATAGTAACCAAAGAGTTTATGGGGGAAAAATCTTTAGAAAAGAACTGACTAATGAATGCAGAAGGAATAATAAAATTAGAAGAAAAGGTCATCTTTTGGCAACCCTAAATGAAATAATGGGTCCAGGCAACGATTATCAAAACTTCTAAGTGATGGGGTAAATGGGGAACTTCATAAAGAACTGATCAGACTGACATCAGCTGAATCTACAGATCGATCTTCCATCACCAAAAATGCAATGACAGGACATTATGTGCCTCTGGATGTGACCCAGTAGGAAACAGATATGAAGTAATTTTACTTCTCCCCTCCTCTTATCTCCAAAAAAGCCCCTAAACCTGAACCTAATCCAGCTTGCAGCCTGATCGGTGTAAAAGAAATGCAGGGGACAGAGGAACATGCTGAGTGACCCAAGGAGTCAATCAGTCAAATTCACAAAATAGGAAAATCTATATTCAAATGACCTATTATATTCAATAAATACATAGCCTAGGAAAAAAAGATGGGAAAAGGAAAATGTTATCCATTTTAAAAAGACTTAAGAGAGGGCGCCTGGGTGGCTCAGTTGGTTAAGCGACTGCCTTCGGCTCAGGTCATGATCCAAGGGTCCTGGGATCGAGTCCCACGTCAGGGTCCCCCTGCTCTGCGGGGAGCCTGCTTCTCCCTCTGCCTCTGCCTGCCACTCCCCCTGCTTGTGCTCTCTCTCTCTGTCAAATAAATAAATAAAATCTTAAAAAAAAAAAAAAAGACTTAAGAGACATATCAACCAGATGCAGTATGTGAACCTTGTTTGGATCCTGATTCAAACTAACCAACTGCAAAAAATATATTTCAGGGACAATTGGGTAATATTGAACAAAGAGTGGGTTTTAGGGAATATTAAGAAATTATTTGTTATATGTGTTATAATGGTATTGTGATTTTTTAAAAAGGATTTATCTGTAGAGATATATTCTGATGTCCTTCTGGGTGAAATTATATATTTGGATTTGCTTTCAAATAATATGGCTTTTTAAAAAATGAAGTGGGTGGGGAGCAGAGGAACAACGAATGGCCAGGGGTTGACAGTGTTAAAGCAATGTGATGGGTACACATGAGTATATTATATGGTTTTCTCAGCTTTCACTTTTGTATAGGTTTGAAAATTACCACAAAACGCTTTTGTTTTACAAATGTTGGGCCTTTTACAAACCTCGCCTCCTACCTTTCCAACAACCCTGTAAATTCCCCCATGTTTCCTTAAGAGGGAATCGAAGTTCACAGAGCTAAAGGCCTGCCTGGAGTCACACCATGGACAAATGGGGAGCCAGGTTCAAACAGAAGGTTCTCTAGCCCCAAAGCCTGTCCACCTGTGTCATAAGAGAACAGAGACACCAGACACTTGTCCCCAGACAGCTGCCTCCCGCCCCCAAAAGAAGCCTTGCTAGGCTGCCCCTGCAGACCTTAGGAGCGGGAAAAGCTTAAGAGTGATAATCAGTGAAGGGCCTGTGGGTGGGAAGACTCTGGGATAGCTGATCCAACCTCATGGCACAGAGCTGGTCACAGCCACCATTTCCACCTGAGGTCAGCCCAAGGTCACATTGCTAACTGGATAACAACCCAGGCCTTTCAGGGCACCTGGCTGGCTCAGTTGGTAGAGCATGCAACTCTTGATCTTAGGGTTGTGAGTTCAAGTCCCACATTGGGTGTGGAGCCTGTTTAAAAAAAAACAAAAAAAAAAACAAAACAAACCCAGGCCTCTCTGTTCCCATTGGTCTTCGTTCAAAATCCAGACAGATTCTCTTATAAGCTTGTGGGCACAGATAGAAATGCTGACTAGTTTGTGCCTTATTTTACCCAGGAAAGGATATGTATGAGCTAAGAGCTAAGGGCACAAGTTTGGAAGGAAGGCCTCTGTTCAGATCCCAGGTTGGCCGCTTTCTGGCTGTATGCCCATTAGTGAGTACCTTGTAAAAATGAGTTGATGTAGGTTTCTTCTGCTATTACACAATTAGGTCTGGCTTACCTCTGGTCCTTTCGCTAAATGAGAATACCTGGCTAGAAGCCCAGTGTGGAGCAGAATCA